TAGGAGCATATTTAATGTCATTGCACCCTGCATGGTGCAGGGAGCAACTGCTTGTAGTTAAGTTAATTTGTTATCTCTATAGCCATATTCCTGTGTGATTAATTACTTGATTTTGTTTATTATTTTTTAGAAAATAAATAAGCCGCTGAAAGATTTCTGCGGATTGGCAAGTTGGCCAAGTATCATACATTTCAGTTATTTTCTTTGATCCCACGTTTGTTATCGGGGTCCTTCATGGATTCCGTTACAATACCTAAGACCCATGATAGGAATTTGGCAGCAGAGAGAGACTTATATATCCTGCATGATATGTGGCAAAGGGGGACCTCTCCCAATGTGATGCACAAGCCACTTATACCCTAGGGCTATTGTGCCTATATACTAACCCCCCCCCCAAATCTGAAGGAATTCTAAAGATTCCGTCAACACAAAAGAAGACAGAGTGGGTGTCCCCTTTGCCACATTATTCTGCATCGAAGCTGACAGATCCCCAGCAGATGCCGCATGTTTAGAGATGGTAACAAAGGACGATTCCAGTATACCACAGCACCCTGATTCTGATCTTTTGTGTCTTTAAAAGTGAAAGACCTTTTCTCTCTTCTCTTCAGATGTGCTACTAGCACAGGGGTGCATAAAATGGCCCCATATCTTCCCCATACTAGGCCTAAATTGATCGTTTCGGTTACACTTGATTTGTTTTGGAAGCTGCAGTGGTGGCATAGGCCAGACAGACCAGGTACCAAATAACCGAGGCCTTGGAATTAGTGTAACAAGCGTAACCATATAATCGCCTTGGGTAGTCCTGAAACCATGCCCTGCAACAATGAAACTATTCAGTTAAAGTCTGACCGAAAAGCACCATTCCATTCATTCTTACTAAAGCCCAAAGAATTGTCCCTAAGAGCTCAGTTATGAGGCAAGCAATCATCAGGTAAGGTTGGGATTTTTCCCAGGCTTTATTTGCTCAAGTGACATTTACGTAACCTTACGTAAGTGACACTCACATAATCTGCTATTCAATGGTTCTTGGCCGGAATCACAGACCCACAGGGTCACGGTTTTGCTTGTTAAACTTCGCAGTTACTCTTGAAAAGGTAGCTTTTTTGCTTCCCCAAGGATCTTCAAGTGGAGGGAACGGTTGTAGGAAACTGAATGAATAAGGACTCATGCGGACACCAATATTTGACACTAAAAAAAATTTTAAAAAAAGAATTTATTAATGAAAAAGTACTAAAAAATGCAAAAACCAAAAGGACTAAAGGACTCAAACTAACACCGAAAGACTAAAATCTTTAAAAGGACTAAAACAACAGTGTGTAAAATGGACCTAATGAGGAGAGTTTGGCTTTCGATCACTGACTCATAGAAGCAGACAGGAACCTGACTCAAGCAGAAATTCACACTCTGCTGAGGAGGAACAAATGAACAGTGAAAGTGTCTCTGCTGGTTTGCTTTTCAGACTAATTAGTAGTCAGAGCATGGGGGTCAAGTTATATGGGTAGAAGCAAGGGCCAAAGTAAATAAACGGGGGGGGGTACACTAACAGAAAAATACAGGGGAACTCTAAACAAAAACTGTAGTTTTAGAAGGAAACTACTCCTATGAAAAGATGCTTACAAAAAGTATAACAAATTTCTAGCTCTGCCACTCATGCAGCTGATTTCCTTCTGCCTATTTCACAAATGAGTGTATATGGGTACTATGGTAACCTAGTTTCTTTAGGTACATCAGATGTTCCATTCCATAATGCACAGCTGTGTCTCCCTTCCTCCAGGTTATATAACACAACCTCCTTTGTAGGATGAATGAAAAATGGTCACTGCGTATATCGTTAAACTGTTCGTGTAATATTAGTAATAAAAGTGTCTCAAGTACTCTGTAATTTATATAATTGCTGCCCCATATTCATTGGGTCAAGAGATTAGCTGAGTGCAGTAATTTGAGCTTCTGCTCAGGGCAATTAAGCTAATCTTTATTTACTCTCACAGTCACCTATTTGTAGCAACTAGACTGTCTTAAGGAATCCAAGTGCTGGTGGTGGAAGGAGGGGGGATTCTGCAGGGGCCATATTGTTGAGGTGTTGTGCACAAATTGACTAGGCAGAGGAGAGACCTTTGGCCAAACTAACTGCCCTACATTATTTTCCACTGGCTGTGACTGGTTTTCTGCTGTTTGTTGTTGATTGGGCACATAGATTTTGCAAGCACTGTTTTCTGCTCAGCTGGCTTGTCCGCTGAACTTGGTCTGTGGTCATCATTCATTAACAAGCTATGCCTGAAGCCTTGACCTGTGCCCTAGCTGGGTGCCTAGCCTACCTCCAAGTCATCACCCACTGACCACTGGCCAGCCCCGATATCTAGTTTGCTGGAGAGATAACTGTTAATGTTCTAATTCATCATGACCATTTATCACATAAGGCCATCTGTTGCATCATTTATACAGGCTTTGCGAGAAGCATTGACCCATAATCTAGACTACTTAGTCACCGGGGGCGGGGGCCTGACCTCAGTTTCATTTAAGCCCCCTTTTTTTTGTTCTAAATCTACCATGATTTTCCTAGTGGGAGTTGCACCATGACTGTCACAGTGCATACAAAGGACCCAATACAGAAAAGATACAGAAAAAGAAAATGTTTTGGACAACCTGCCATTGTACTCTAGCTGAAACTCTTTACACCCCAAGGAAAGGTCGTAATCCGACCTACATATATTAAAGATGTCAATATTGTTTTTGGCTGTGAACATAACTTTGTTGTTGGGGTCATGAGGGCACTCACTTGACACGTGTCTCCTTTTTCCAATGTACATGTACAGTACCAATATATATATATATTTTTTAGGGAGATATACCTTTCCCTTATCTTTATTTTTTCTTTTGCTGTTAACTGGGAAGTTTGAAGGCTTAACTCTAGTAATATATACCTGGCTTAGTTTGTGTCAACTCACCTCTATTTGGGGTGCTCCCTTCCGTAAATGCTCACCCCTTTTCTTGTTGTAAATGTTCGATATCTGCGTGCTGCATTGTACAACTAAAAATACTTATCGGGCTTGCATTTCTTGCTCCAATTAAATTTGGAACCGTATTTGAATGTCTAGTGGAGGAGAGTGCATTACTTACATATAATATGGGCATGATTGCATGATCTTGGTGCAAAACAACAGTCAAATTATTGTTTACGGTGCGCAATTCTGTGCCCTGTAGGATAATATCAGATACAGAATGATTAAAAAGGTTGAGATGATGGCCAAAACGGATATCTAGTTGTTTGGTGTTGACCGTAGATCTTTGGCCATAGGAACGCTTCTAAATGAGAGCGTTTTTAGTCTCTTCAACGTATTGAGATAAGATAAGAGCTACAAGTGATGATGCCTTTGATTCTGTGGGTGGGGGGGGCAGAGGAGTGTCCAGAGAATTTATCTGATTCCAGGACAAATGTGATTCAAGTGTGAATCTAAAATGTGTTGGGCACCGTAATGATGCCATTTGCTTCAACAGGGAGAAGCTTTGGATCAAATTTCTGCGCACCGTACAACCCCATAACCTGAACATCCAAGAAGGAACTATTAATTAACACTCATTTTTCTCCCTCGCTTTTGTCAACAGATTACCCCCCCCCCCCCGAGGTCTTCTTTAATCTCTTAATACCGACCTGCATCCGGTTACTCATCAACCACGCCTTTCATGCATTACCTTTACCCAGCCTCCAGCTTTCTTGACTTTTCCTTTTGTCCTCTTGCATTTATCCATGCTTGGTTGATTCTCTGTTTGCTTGTTTGTCCTGTCCACTTGTCATTTCACCTTTGACTAAGATTCTGCTGGGATGGAAATGTCAGGCCCTCCTTATTTTTTGAAAATTAATCATAACTTGCAAAACCCGACCAGTAAAAAAAGACCACAAGCCAAAAAGACTTCCTCGCATGAAAGCAATAAATCAGTATTTTTGATTAAAACATCAATTTCAAAACGTCAAAGAGGGAATAGAAGCGATCCCTTATTTCCACACTTTCTGATGTGATAGCCATCAACTACCATGAACTGCTCATTTTGAAGTCAGTGTATGTTTGTACAGTTCAAGGATGGGACCATTACTGAAGTCACGGTAATTGTTACTTAGTAGGCTTATATGTCTGTTCAAGGGGGGCAGGTCAATTGGGAACAAAATTTTCAGGATGTGGACAATATATTGCAATTTCTTGATGCAACATTTTATGGAATATTGGAGCTTTTTGAATGGAAATGAACCCCCCCCCAAAAAATCCTCTCTTGGTTCAATGACCGCCATATCGCCCTGCCTTGAACCAACAGTGAAACATTTAATTTTCTTCGATTTCTAGAGCACTGGGGAGCACTTTGAGTACTTTGTATTTAACAATTTCAAGTTTAACCCTGATGCAAAATTTTCTACCCGGAAATGTTAGATTAGTTGCTCATTCCAGATAAATTTCAACTTCAGTAAGAAACAATGCAGCGTACCGTTGTGAAATAACTATAATGTGAAATTCTACATTCAATGGAAATTGAAACATTTCAAATCCAACACCTCAAGGAACAAGCAATTTCAAAACTTGGTTTATGTTGTTCTTTTATTACATGTATCTTCACAAATGTCACATTCAATATAAATATTTCACTCTGAACACAAATACTTTCCATAGCAATAAACACTGTAAAAGGAGCTATTAAGTTACGCTCAGGTTTATACTTGTTATCCCGACAGTTTTACATTTCTGCCTTGAGCACTCCACAACCTTTTCCTCAGGTGTATCACAGTGTTGAGGCTATGTCTGGAACTATGGATTGAGACCAAGGAGGGATAGCTGTTTTGAAATTTAATAAAGGTCAATGTCCAATTTCACCTCAAAAACTGTCAGGTACATTTGTTCCGTCCCCTTTTGACCGCAAATGGGAATGACAACTTTGTGAGTGCTCTTCCATTTCCACGAAAGGTTTTTATGCAGCTGTTCCAAACCTTTGGAATAACCTTCCTCACGAGATCCGTCATGCAACTTCCCTTGCCATGTTTAAAATACTGCTTAAACCCATCTTCCATGCATGCGTTTTTAAACTAATAGCCCATTAGCTATTATTTTCTCATTCTGTATTACTTTGTGTGAAGCGCTGTGATTCCATTTTGTGTAAGAACGCTACATAAATGGCTGAATTATTATTATTATTAAAAGGTGCTCGACTGTTTTGTTCAAATACAGCCTGCGTGCCTATCTCCTGATATCAAATGTTTCTTGGTCTCGATACACTTCCAGAAATGCATAACCATTCGGGCAACACAGCCTTTCATTTTGTATACATCTCGTGCCAGATGTGCGTTGTGGGCCAAACACTGATCTAATGCCCACAGAACAATATGAAGAAAAGATGGCTAACTTGTGCACAGGATTATAAAGTGTTCCAAAAAAAAAGGTTGGGGCATGTTGCCACGCTTTCCTGCGAAGGGGTGTGGCATGTGTCCGTGCTCGTACCTACAATAAATCTGATCGAGCTTATGAAATAGGCAAATGAAACATAGATTTTCACTGCATCCTCCATACCAAACATTGTGCATTCACAGAGACTGAGTACTCATTCAGTTACATCAATTTACTGGGTACAAGAGTTGGCAAGTCATCAATCTGTCATCACCATCTGCTACCAGACTTCCCAGATAATCCAAATATTGAAGAAGCTCACATACCACTCCATAATTAGTAAACACAATTCTTCTTTGTTAACATGAATTTCACAGATGACACCACTTATCACAGAAACATCAATATTAGTTAAATAGGAAGGAAAGAAAATTTGCTAAAAAACAAAGATAAAATTGTTTATAAGTTTTCATATTGTTTGTCTCAGTCTCAGCATCACCACGTGGACAATAAACTAAAAAAAAGAAGCGTAAATGTGGGTGATGTTGATAACCCTGTAAATCTTTTAAAAGACAAAGAAACTCCCAAAGTCAGTTTCGGCTGTACAAAACCATGGTACTGTGCTAATGCTGTGGTGATGTAAAACCTTTAATTTGCACTGAGAAATGACAAAAATACTGTTCCTGAGTTTGAGGAGTGGGAAAAAAAGAGCAACTGCAACTATCAAGACAAGCTCATCTTGAAGCCTATCCACACTGTTTCGTTTCTACTGATTTAGAATTTAGTACAGGTCCACCATGGTGGATTTGACTGGGATCATATGAAAAAAACAGGTGTATGTGCCGTAATACTGTACATGACTGAAGTAATTTTGAATTTTGTTCACTGGCAGATCCCCTACACCCGAGTCTTAAGCAATGCAGAATTCTACTCTTGTAAAACTGAACACCTGCATGTATGTACATGTATGACAGGCTCAGTTCTGCATTCTTGCCTGTCTGAAATCTGGGTTGCCAAAATCTCAAACATAGATTTGACGTAAAAATCTGAAGAGTTTGAAGGATCTGCTTGTCAACAACTAAAGTCTGTCCTCAGACTCTGTTTGCTCTGTAGCCAATCAGAACAAGAGACCTTTTGTTTTTTTGCTTTTATGGGGGTAGGGACAACCAGGAATCAGTCCTTCAGAGAGCTAATCCCATCAAGTCAATCTTGGCTTTAAAGGGACAAAGTGCTAAGTGCTTTCAATTCAACTCTAATGTCATTAACATCTTAAGATGTTCACCTGACAAGCTGCGTTCAGTTGGTGTCTTAATATTCTCGTTCTTTTGTTTTCAGCAAGGAAAAACTTTTTTATCTAATACTTTTCAGATCCATCACAAAAAGTCCACATCTACTACAAGTCAAACTGAAACACTCAGGATAACCACAGAGCTGGGTTTGTAGCTCTCTGGGATAACCAAATAATATACACAGATAAAGATCTGGTAATTGACAAATACAATGATGCATAATCACTAACATAAGACATGTCTCAATCTTTTCTGTTAGCACCCATCAATGTTTGCTCTAGTGATTCAACACGGTGCAGTCTGTGTATCTGTTTCAAATAATTGTTCCTTAAAGAAAATATCCAAAAAATATTTGGTAGTGTGACAGTTGCACACACGTTAGTACTGTCCTAAAAGACAAAGGTTCCTGTTAAACAATCTCAGAGTACCAATTTGCTAGCAATGGCGGTGGAATGATTTTCAAAGTGGGGGGGGCAGTTTAAGACCATCAGCCATTAATTAATCCATTAAGCCCCACCCACATTATAAGACCTGCAAAAAGTGGGGGGCTATGCCCTCCCAGTCAGAAAAGTGGGGTACTGCACTGGCCCCCTTTGGCCCTTCATCCTCCTCAATTCTGCCACCAGTGTCTGTTAGTGAGGCACAACCCTTCCCTCAAGCCACCACCGCCGACAAAGTCGCACTCATTTTTTTGGTTTTGTTGTTAAACTGTACATGTAAAGTAATCATTTACCCCCAAACACAAATGGTATTCAGTTCAGTCTTGGTTTGCATTAATACGATGCGGAGAGAATGAAACAGGCATTGGGAGAAATTGGTTTTAGTCATCCAGAACCGAAGCGAGCATCTTGATGATAACCATGGCAACGAGTGACGAGGATGCAACCAAGCCTGAAGCAGAGGACGCCGTGTTTAAGAAGATCGTACGAGAGTCGACTGCTTGGACAGGACGGAAGGTGTCTGTCAGGGTGATGTTGGCCGATGCATTACGTTCGTTAGCAAACTGTCTACGGAACGTCATCAGCTACAAGCAAAAGAAAGTATGAGATGGAAAATGCCATTATAAATTTACAAAGCCAACCTCATGAAGGGGGATGGAATGAAGACAGTTTCAGTGGAGCTTCTGTCCAGCAGGACATAAGTCAGACCTGAGTCCCACTTCTGGTAACTTTACTCAACTCGAGGCTAGACTCGTAAATGACTTGATGAGAAATGGACCAGAAGACTTTACTCAAGTGAAATTCAATCCCCAAAATAAAAGCAAACTTTAAGGCAAAAATATTTCCTTGCATTTGCAATGAGTTGCAAATGCAGTCTATTAAGTGAAATTGAAAGTGTGGTGGGGGGGGGAGAGCATTGGAACCTTCTTGACGCCTCCCCGTATTGAACAATATTTATGTTCTTGAAAGAGAACCAACATGTGAAAAGCTAACATATGGGAATTAACTGGCATCAGGAACAACCAAGGCCACAGTAAAATTTTACAATAGGTTTCACCCTTCTGCCGATATACATTTACACTGCATTCTCAACGTGAGATGCTGGGACCATTAGAACCAAATGATCCTAATTCTTTTTTGCATTAGCAATTGATTCTAACGGTGTCATACTTCGGACTGAGTCTCGGTGTAGTAGTCAGTGAAAACAAAGAAATGTGATACTTTCTCATTACAACACAAAGTCGGTAGTATCCCAGTTCAATTTTGTACGCAACTGTGGGCTGTAACGCTTGACAAAGGTGAGTCTTGCAAGAATCACACCTCATAAGAGCGAGACTATCATTGTCACACTTCCCAGGACTCTTGCAAAGAGACATGGTGACACAGGATTTTAATGCCTACAATTTATGCACCTGAAATTATTCAAAAAATAAGTCGACACAATTTGCCATGTGAACTACTTTAGAAAGAGCAAACTGAGCTCTTGTACGTTTTGACATAATGCCCAGTTTGGCATTCTGATGAATAATGGCCATCATGTCACTGAAAAATGTTCAAAAAGAATAAAACTATTCAGTGGAAAAGTTAGTCCTTAACAGGTTCTGGTAAGATTTTTAAAAAGTTTTATACTAGAACAAGGCTCAATGTCCAGGAGAGCTTATTCAATGCTACACCAATACATGGTAACTCAACCAAGAATTCTTGGGGGAAAAAAACAATGGAGGTAGTCATATTTTCTGAAAACCTCAATGAAACCTGACTTCAAGGAGGTCAGCATTTTACGGCCCAGAGATTTTACAAAAGCATCAACTCAAAAGCAGGGCATAGTGACCTCCTGTCCTAGGGCCTTTCTCACTGACAAGAGATTAATTACAAGCATGATTTATCCTAGGGCCTTTCTCACCAGACAAGAGATTAATTACAAGCATGATTTGTCAAAGATGTTCCTTCCCAGCCCAGACAACTTCAAGATTCCACTATTAGCTTAGTCAATTACTTCAGCACCTGCCACACCATAATTGGCCAGGTCTTTTTTCTGAATGGAGCTCTACTCTCTTTTTTTTATTGGCACACTATATGGGGTTCATTCAAGCGGTCATGTGGCCGTCAAGATATTGGGTTGAAAGCTGGTTATGCGTGGAGAGTCACGTTTTTGGTTTTCCCTTTCCCAATGCAGTTTCAACGGATGACGAGCCTGTCCTCGCGAAATTATACTACTGATTTGCTTACCAGAGCTTTCTAAACTTTCTAGCAGATGTCCAAGGAATTTCTGGTTAAATTATAGTCTTATTTCATTCATGATGAAGGGTTTCAACCACCAATTGTAACCAGGGTTGGCATTTTTTTAGTAAACAAAATTAAAAACCAGTCTTTTCACTTAAAACAGTTTGTCACAAATGTTAATCAGATTTTGTTTTACGATTTTAAATCAGTTTCTTTTTAAGTTGAAAACAGTCAGCTTGAACATCAATTCCAATACCAAGCAAGTTTAGCCATATTTTATTTATTTTGTCTTAAAATTCAACAAAGTGTGATTTAAACTGAGGGTTATCAGTAAATCAAATAATTTGATTAAAATAACACTTGAAATTGAGGTCATTTAAATCATATTATAAATCAATTTTGGATTCATGGACTAAATCGAAAAAGCTGACTGAAATCAAAACAAGTGGTTTGAACAAAACGTATTCCTGCCAAACCCCTAACACAATGTGCAACCATATTCTTATCAATGCCATGTACTGAAGGCCTCACAGAAGGGTATTTGTCATTTAAAATTTGCAACACCTGGGAAAAAGGTTAAAATCAGTTGAAAAAAAGGGGGGGTAGCCTTTTTGCCATTTTCAAAGAAAAATAAAAATATTGATATAAATCAGTGATTGAAAGTCATTTGATTTGAAATCACAAGTTAAATGGTGATTTAAATCAAGGTGATTTAACTTGGCTAAGCCAGACAAAAGCACTCCCCAATTTGTGTCAAGATTATCCATGCACGTTTCTAAGTGACCTATAGCGAGTGATAAATTTACAGCTAGAGGCTGTGGCCATCAAGAATATAAATAACCTATCAATGCAGCACACCAGGGGGTACTGGTGACCCACTTTTATTCAAAGATGACTGAAAGTTTGTCAAAGCTGACTTTACAAATAAGGACTTTTTCAAATTGTCCAACAACTGGTAACAGCATGTATATGTGGGCCTTGGCCTGAAAAAGGCTTTCTAAACACTTTTGTGAGCGTTGCTGGAAAGTAAGCTAAGTAGTCATTTCAACTGGTTTGCAATGGCAGCAAAGTGGTAAACCGAACATCATCACACAATGAGAACTTCTATGAGGTAGAAATCCAAAGTTAAGTGGGGATCAGAAGGGGCAAAATTTAAACCTGATAGCCTGCCACTTTAACTTTGCCCACAGGAAGCACAATTGGTTTGAGGGCAAAACGTAGGTATGTCATTTTTATCTTCTGCAAGGATTGACTATGTGGATCTCCAAATATTCCCATTTTGGCTATGCCACCTTCACACAGGCTATTTAATTTGGGAACAGCCAATTTGAGAGAAAAAGATGATTCAAAGTCTCTTTGTTCCAACCACAGCCAGCCTCAAAGAGAACACACTTAAAAAATAGACTTCTCTTTATTGTAAGATCTCCCTTGTCTACATGTATGTATGGACAGATTTGTTCTTTGAAACCCCAAACAAAAATGTTTTTGTGCATTCCGTTAGCTTCCACAGGAGAAAAGCCTGATCTAGGATGGATATGTTTGCTGTTTGTCCAATAAGTGAGACCATTGGGAACCTATGCTCTATTACATAAGAGCCCAATGGTTAAAGGGTTTAAGTGGTTTAATATCTCTTCACGGTTTCCAGTAATCAATGCCAGACGCACAAGTTTTACACCAAAGGCTACAGAATGTCGGGATGAGAGCAGCAAGACACTCATTTCTTTGTGATCCACATACAGTTGACTTTTGCTATAAAGTATGCTGTTTTAGCAAAATTCTGTTTTAAGAACAGATTTTGAGAATCCCAATTTCTTGAATCTGCATGCTTTTCATTGTTGTTTCACTCATTTTATAACAAAACCACAGTTATAACAAATTAATCTTTCTGGTTCCTACAACTTTGTTATAAGATTGTTCATGTGTAAAGCATCTATAGAAGAGACTATATTATACATATGTGAGTATTTTAAAAGTCCAGATTTTTATTGGAAAGTGGGGTTCAAACGTGTATGCTCACCTGTGCTTCGGATACCATAATGGGTTTTGAAAAGACATTCCAGGTGACGATCTCAAAGCAAGGGGGCGTGGTCAGGGAACCACTGTAGCGGTAGAACGGTGACAGGTCGCTGGGGAAAATGTTCTTGAAGACCACAGTTGGGGAAAGTGGAACCTCATCGTCTGTAAAGCGTGGCATGAGATAATTGCATAAACAATGAGCCAGGTCAGTGTTGCAGTGTCCAAGTTATCCAAAAAACAAATCATGCTAGTCAGTGTATGCCCCTGCTGACAGTTTTGGCCTCGGGCACAATTATTGCTGTTCCCAAAATGTCCTCGCTCAAATATGCCTCATTTTGGACATGCGCTGTTGGAACACTGAACTGGCTCATCATCTCCAGTTGCTCTTACAATCAGTGATGCATTCTCTAATATTTATATAACTTGGCAATGTCTGCAGGGCAGATCAAGGTTGAGAATGTTGGCAATTGGACAGATTTTCTTTTTCAAATTGATCTATTTTCTCTCAAGAATTGCTGTCTTTAAAAAATCCGACAAACAGCCCAATCTCAGGCTAACAAAAATGATTAGCTTCCCCGACTTTTGGTTTGCAAACATGGTGCTATTCTTGTCGTCACACTATTTTCTCTTTTGAACAGCACCTGACAGCTCAGGGACTATAGATGTCTCCTTGATACAATGGAGTTTAGATATCACATTGTGTTATGCAGGTGTTTGTGCTTGTCCTAACTTCAACAAATTGGACCTCCTGTTTTCAATCAAAGCCAAATTACAGCCTTAAGTGTAGTTTACTAGCATCAATAGCCTGCATGTTGTCAGAGCAATTTCATGATGGCTCAGCTTTATCTTCAAGTTTGTTTTCTAGTGGGTGCCACCAAGGGGGGTCAACATGTGACACTTTTTCCCATTACCTCCTCACATTCCTTTGCCAAAGTATGGATTCAATACAAAGTGCTGCATTTGGCTCACATTTTAGCCCTGAATACCTGTGACATGGGGGGGGGGGTAATTTGAAGAGATTAGGGATTTGCTACAGACAAGCCGATCAGAGTGTTCAAAACTTTGGTATGTGCCCGACATTAACTCTTTTATCCTTTTACAGCTAGTTAGCTGTTGGAATGTTGTGTGACATTGCTGAAATACAGGTGCATTGAAATTATATCCACTGGAATTCTTTCTTACACCATATCAGAAATACCAGAACCTGGTCAAGGTTTTGACAAAATCTCAAACAGACAAAAGATTTTTCTTTAAGTTTTCTCCACATAATGACCTGCATGTCCTCATGGCAAGAAACAAAAGCTTCTAAACAGTCAAGAGGCAACTTATGTAGACTTTTAGACAAAATGACTTGAGCATGAATGGTTTATCAAAAAGGTCACAGCGAGGCAGCTTCCAACCAGAAGTCATCTCAAAGGTGCCGGGCCACAGTGTGATTTCGTAAGTACAACTTACATTAACTGTGAGGAGGGGCTTAAATCTGATGTCACCAAATAACCACAATTCCCTCTCACAGGAGGCTTTTTAAAATCTGTGGCTTTCATAGTTCCGAACAGATCAACCTCTTCCAAAATGAGGTTATTTCGATCAAGTATGCTTGGCCTTTTCATGTCAGTGGGGTTAGCAGTCTGCATTCCATGAGATGCATTTGAAACGTCTCAAGTTCACAAAAGTTTCTTTCAATCTTGAGTAAGTCACGTACTGAAATGAAACGACCAACCTCTGCTTTCAATTAATTGGGGGCCAGGGAGGGGCAAAAAATTCCCTTAAGTACTCCATAAAAGTCTCTGACGAGTGATAACAGGAGCCATCAACAACACATGCCTGATGTTTGTACCAATGCAGAGATTTTTCTGCATGTGACCAGAGGTATTGTTCTCATCAAGCAGTTCTGTTCTACTTGTTTGTGACAAAGACTTACTTTCAAACTGGATCATGGAGATGGCATCAAACAGCGGTGCTAGAGCTGCATTGTCTTCTGCCTGAACCTGAGGGTGGGGTGAAATATCAACGAAGGGCTGAAATTAATAAATATTCATGGGGAGCCACTTCATGGAACTTCTGACCAGTGAACAGGCAGACGGGTTCCGGAGAAAATGAGGAATCACCAAAATGTTTTTTCCCCATCGGTTGATGCCATGGGGCTTAATTAATTGGTGTATGTGCAAGAAATGGTCCGTCCCCTTGGGGGAAAAATACTCCTGCACACGTACCTATCCATGCAAAATTGTGGCGCGGGGAAACTGTCAGATGATCCATGAGACTGTCAATTTCAGCCACAAATGCCCACACAGATCAAGTTCAGTACAAAAGCAAACGATTGTTCACGCACATATAAACACCCTGATAACTAAATACACATTATCGTACCAGAAGGGTACCATCTACTTTAGATTCTGAGGCATTTAGAAGGTTTGCTATTATAAGCCAGTATAATTTTCAGAAAAAAAATTGAGCCTACTATTTTCCAATTATGAAAATACATAACTAAAGAATTATGAAATATTGATACAATTTCATTTGATGCTTCATATATCCACAACAGAAACTCAGTTTCTGATTTTCTTTCTCCTTCCATTGCACAAGTCACCACTTTGATCTTTTAAACCTATGTGTATCTCTCAAGCAGGATCCAGTAATATGCAGTTGCCAAAGCAATCTGTGCATCGGACTAACGATCGACCCCATAAAATCAACAGGACCTGCGCATTGGGACCAGATAATTTTATGGGTACGGCAATTTTAAGGGTCAGCCCGACCTCTCAGTGTGGCAAAAGTGAAGTGAAACTGAACAAAGTTCACCTTCACCAAGTTTCACTAGGCATTAAACTTTCATTTTTACATATATTGAAGTTTAATTTGCAAGCCATTTATTTTCCATCTTGCAAGTAAGGCATGCATACATGTAGCCAATGAATGAAGTCGTGATGTAAAAAAAAGGAATGGACAAGTTAAAAACACAAAAGAGTAAGTAATTTGGGTGTCGATTGAACAGCTGCAATTTTGGCATTCACCCTTTGTTGTCAGGTTTACGGATGGAACAATAAGAACTTCAATTATCCACCTGTATCTTTCACGTAAATGGGCCCATCTTTACTGCCTCTGATAAAAGGTTTGGATGGAATATTCACAAGTTTGGTTCACAATATTTTGGGCCATTCTCATCTCTCGTGCTGTCTGAAAGGAAGGCGTTTTTTGCCAACTTGTCTTTAAATGCATCCAACTGAAGAAAAATTGTAACCAAATGATCAACACATCACTTCATCGACACTAACAGACACATCTATCCATCAACCGTTGAATGATTGACGGCTGTTAAGGTTAAACGAGCAACAGTTGCTTTGAAAGAAAAAATGGTTTGAAAGAAAAAAAATCACTAGCAGCGTTACATCCAAAATTGCTCCTGCACCTTCCTTCACTGGTACCCATTCATTGCAGCAGCGTGTGAAATGGTACACTGACGTGCAGTTAGTGAGTGCAAAGTCCTCATGACCATAATATGTAATCCCACAATGAATGCCTCTTCAACAGGTTAACTCTTCCTGACTAGGCCAATACCTGATGGAGGAAGGAGAGGCTTCAAAATCCTGGAAAATTGATAACATTTTAATTTGGAGTTTTCTTGCCATTTTACCACATTTGATTAAAAAAATCAACGAGAAAACAATCCAAAGAAAAATGTAATGTTTCGAAGTTCTGCTATTTTCATGAAGAAAAAAAAAAGGTTTAATATGAATTACTCTTTAATGTAATAATTCTACAACTAAATAGCAATTAGCAATGAACAAAACTTACATTTTGTGTCAATGCAAAGAGCTCCTAAATCCGTAACAACAGACGTTTTGAAATGTGTCATGAAAAGGGGATGTAGTTATCTTGGCATAGTTTCAGAAAACACCATCGTATACTGACCATCCCCCGTGACAACATTCAAAATGTATCAAAAGAAATGAACAGTCAAAACTTACATTTTAAACCAAAATCTAAAACCTCTTTTTTTTAGAATCTTATTACATGTACCAAGAAGCAACCAAGCAGCTACTTAGTTTCCTGAGCATACTATTGGAAATGAATACTTCCAGGTAAGTTGCAACAAAGACATCTCAAATTGCAATTTTAACGAAAATCGCTTGAGGTCAATGCTGGTGGGATCATTAACTACTAAAGGAAATCTGCGCACACAACTTAATACCGATTGTAAATTAGCTTTAGCGCGTTTAAATTTGCCTTTGATATCAGTCTATTTGTGGAGGACAGAAAGAGTCTCACTGGCAACCATTACAAATAAATCAGCTCGGAAGGTTTACATTTGCCCCACACAGTGACCCCAAGAGACAAATGCTCTTGTAAGACCTGGATTATCCACCGGCACAGGTGGTACTTTACTCACGGTTACAAAAAAAGCTCAAGCTCCAGTGCTAATCCCACTATGGAAACAGGGGTTATACCAGGGGCAGAGTACTGATGGCCCATCAGGTAGCATTTTCTTTAGATATTTCTGGTCGCATATAACGCTTCAACTGGCTTGTGTAGTACCTACCCGTAACCCCGCACTAAGTGCAGTGCTATGGTCTTTGCCTACAATAGCAGCAGAGGTGTGCTGGGTCATGCGAGTGGGTGTAGAACCTCCCCTATTCAAAGCAAAGACCTAGTTCGGTAACATCTGGCATGTGGCACTCATATGTACCGACTGACTTAGTAACTTAATTCGTTTGCCAAGTTTACTTTCTGTTAAAACAGAAATCAGTTTGAGCTGTTAGAACTTTCATTTGAAACTTATCGACAGCGGAAAATTTCTGATTGCACCCTGCTTGTGGTACATTACGTTTGGATGCTGCAAATGGCTATAGTAAATCTTCATCGACCTCTTTAGAGTTATTTTCATTTGGAACTTGAAAAAAGGCTTTTGCTGGCACTGTAAGCTTGCTTATTAGTGCCTTTGCTTGGAACAGTTTAGAAACTGTGGGGGGTGGGTAGCTGTGAGACCATCAGGTATCAGCCATTAGCAGGTGGATTTCTTAAGCCCCAACTCATCATAGGACCTGCAAAAAGTGTGTG